CCCCAAAACCCCAAAACCCCAAAACCCCAAAACCCCATTTATTTATGATTTATTGATTTTTTTAATAATTATCCACTATTCTTCGTCCTCTTCCATACCTTTCATGGTGTTTTTCCAGCATTTTACCTTCTCTTTCAGAATTTTAATTCCTTCAGTTACAATCTCCTCTGGTTTATACATTCCTACTGATTCAACAGTGAATTCAAAATGGTTTTTCACTTTAGCTAATTTGATCTTATCAACAAACTTCTCGTCTCTGATTCATTCTCTTCATGTGGTACAAACTCTTGAGTTTTTGACAAAGAGTTTACCTGTGTCTTCAATATCAAAAACATTCATTGGGCATTTGCTCTTAAGCTCCTGAGCTTCTTCTCCAGAGATCTCTTCTTTAAGAGCAATATCTGGGAGAAGCCTATAGTAAGCAGTGGATACAGGAGACCATTTGGCATGCGTCTTTCCTACTCCTTTTTCTCACATAAGTTCCATCTCTATTTCTTGTCCAGGTCTCATTTTAGAAAGAAGGATGTCTTCATACACAGGTCTAATAGGCGTGTTTTTAAACTTCTCTTCTTGAGTTCCAATAGGAACCCATTTCATGTCACTTGTATAAACCGATGCGTGATTGAATAGAGCTTCATCATTCTCAGGGAGGATATCATTTTCTCTATTCTGAGCTTCAGGCGTGTTTTTCCTTGTGCATTTTATATGAAGGTTGAACTGAACTCAATTATTCTCATTATGATCCTCATTTTTACCCTTTACTTCAAAAAGTCTTGGGTCTACTTTAATTGGAACGAGTCCCATTCTGTGAGCAAGAACTTCGTCGGGGATTACTGAAGTATTCTGCCACATATTCACTTTCTCAATTGCCATAGTTGGGATCTCTGAGATGAAAATTCTTCTCAATGCATTTGCAAAAGCTGGGTCTATTCCTTTTACATCAAAAGTAATATCTTCATCATTTAAAGAGATTACGTCAATTTGTAAGTTCTCTGCAAAATCCTCAAGAGGGAGTTCCTGGGTAGTCACAGTTGTATTATAATCTACTCCTTCATTCTTAATAAAAGCTCTAGTTTTGCTCTCTTCAAAAATATTGGACATTTTATTATATTTATGCAGAAGATTTGTGGGGTTTTGGGGTTTTGGGGTTTTGGGGTTTTGGGG